CCAGATGTTTTTACTTAAGAGTCGGATATACGGCTTCCGAAAATGGAGCACTGGCATTAATTAGTGTGTTGCGACAGTATAGAGTAAACGTTACTACCGGTATCTTTTTTTTTTTTTTAAACAGGATAATGAAATTCACACTTTCTGACATAAATAATAATAATAATGAAAATTAAGAATCTCTAGATTTTGACGAATTTTTTTTTTTAACAGAATTTCTCTAAATTTTTATTTAAGCGAATTTTTATCGAAATTACAACAAACATAATCAATTAAAAAAGAATTTCGACGGCAATTTTCAAATTTATTTTTATTACAAAGAATTTTTAATTAAGTAGAATTCGAAATTTTATTTACATTTCTGAAAAATGGCAAATGTCCGAAATGACCGAACAAACATTAACCTACAAAAATAAATTTTGGCGCCAATTTTCTAAGCAGAATTTATCAGGAAACTTATTGTGATTAGTCAATTTTAAAATTGGCGCCAATATCTGTTTGTAGGTTATGTTTGTTCGGTTATTTGTAATTGCGGACCAAATTTAAAATCAAATAAACAGAATTTTGGCGCCAATTTTAATTTTATTTTTACAAAACGGCGAATGTCCGAAATTACAAATAATCGAACAAACATAACCTACAAGCATTATATTGGCGTAAATTTAAAAATCAGAAATAATTAAGAAACTTGTGATTGGTCAATTTTAAAATTGGCGCCAATATCTGCTTGTAGGTTATGTTTGTTCGGTGATTTGTAATTTCAGTCATTCGCCGTTTTTCAGAATTGTAAATAAACTTACGGATTCTGCAAAATTAAGATTAGAATACTTTGAAATAAAAATAAAATTAAAATTAGCGTCGAAATTCATTGGTTATGTTTATTCGATTTTAAATTTGGTCCGAAATTACAAATAACCAAACAGTAGCCTAATAGTTTTACGTGCGAGATCTCCCTGTACAGGTATCAAATAACCAAACTAACATAACCTACAAACAGATATTGGCGCCAATTTAAAAATCAAACATTCTCAAAACACTTTTGATTACCCAATTTTAAAATTCCCGCCAATATCTTGTTGCAGGTTATGTTTGTTTGGTCATTCGACATTTTTCAGAATTGTAATTAAAATTTTAGATTCTTTTAAATTGAAAAGAAAAACAAATAAATTAATAAAAAGAGAAAATTTGGCTAAAAATGAAAATTCAATGTTAAAATAAAAAATCGTTGGCCTAAAAATTGTGTTAAATAAAAATCCGTATATTTGGTCTCTCGCAAGTGTCTTATAAAATACAAATCGAGCTACAGCGATTAAATATACGTGTATATAGAGAGGTTCATGACTGTATGTATATACGCGAGGAGACAGGGCTCACAGGTTAGCCTCGGCCCACATCGGTATAACACTTTCACTGACGTAACACTTCACTCTAAACTGTTGCGTTGCCTTCCCCTCCAACGCGATTATATACAAAACCCTCTTCTTATTGCATGTTACTGTCCAATATATCACGCACCTGTACAATTTCTCATCTTCACTTCCCAAAATATTGTCGGGAATCATTTTTTTTTTTTTTTTTTTTTTTTTTTCAATATACAAACATTATTGTGACACACTGCGAGAAATATTTCTCTCTCTCTCTCGTTTAGATAATTATTATTATTAATAATTTATATTACTACTATTATTATTATTATTATTATTATTATTATTATTATTATTATTAATATTATTATTATTAAAATTAATTAATTTATTTTAATTATGAATTTAATTAAAAATTTGTAATTACGAATTTAGTTAAAAATTTATAATTAATACAAATTTTTATATTTTTTTAAAATTTTTGTGTCAAAGTAAAAAATTTTTATATCTTTTGTTTTTGCAATTAAATTAGACCTAAAAAAAATTTTTTTTTTCATTCTGAAAATTGTATATTCAATCAAATGTGATTTGAATATTATTGTAATTTAAAATTAAATCCATTATACTTCCAAAATTCTTTTTGTAAATTCCAAACCAAGTGTTTTAATTATTCTAATAATATATCGTGATTGAGATTTCCATTATTGAAAATTACAATACTTTATATTTAATTGGAAATATTAAAAAAAAATATATATAAAAAAGAAATTTTAATTTTTTTTCTATACTAATAAAAAAAAGGTTGATTCAAATAATCGGTTACTTGACTATTATCAAATAAATAATGCACATAAATAAATATTTTTTTGTATTAAATAATTATTATTTAATTAAATGAAAATTATTTCAATTAAATGAAAATTATTTCAATCAAATGAAAATTATTTCAATAAAATGGAAATTATTTCAATCAAATGAAAATTATTTCAATTAAATCAAAATTATTTCAATTAAATGGTATATTTAAATACAGAAATAATTGATTCAAATATAAAATTATTTATTTAATTCAACTATAAAAATTATTTGCTCCAAGTAAATATTTACTAATAGTTAAATAAGCAGGTATTTGAATTAAACACGAAAAAAAAATTTCACCTGAAACATATGATAAGTTTCATTGGAACAACGATATGTTTTACTAAAACAGCGAAAGTTTTCGCTATTCTAAAGAAACAAATTGCTATTTCAGATAAAAATTTTTTTACATGAATAATTCTTATTTCTATATGCAAAAAAAAATTTAAATTAACAAATTTAAAAAAAAAATGACACAATCTTTCACCAAAACTATTGGATTATATTCAATATTAAAAATGAAAAATTAATTCAATTACTATTTAAAATAAAATACCGTGAAAGCGCGCGCGGTTACTTAATAAAATTTTCAACAATTCCTGTAAATTTACTATATATTTTCAATTATAATTAATTCATGATTCAATTTATCAGTCTGTATATAAATATATAAATGTATATATATATTTCTATATTATAACATTCAGACATTTAAAAAAAAAAAAAAAAGAAAAAAAAATCCAGACAGTGTAATTGCCTCGGAATAAAGTGGGACGCGTTGATAATATAGATTATATAGAATAACAAATTTAAAGCTCGAAAATAGAACTTAATCAAATTAGCCGACTTATTCATTGTAACATATAGATATATATACTCGGAAGCATTATTCTCTATAAATTGAATTCAGTGACCTCTTTTTTTCTATACAAAAAAGAAAAAAAAAAAAAAGAAAAAAAATATATTTAAATTCAAATAAATTCGAATTTTTTTTAATATACTAAACATATCTATATATTTTTAAAGAAAAAAAAAAAATTTTTTTTTTTATTTTTACTTATTTTTTAAATAATTAAAATTACTGTTCCTATCTCAGTTAATGCAAAAATTAATTTTCCTTGGAAAAAAAAGTTTTCCTTTTTTAAGAAAAAAAAATGTATTATTTTTTAAGATAAAAAAAATTATTTTTTATTATTACAAAATGAAAAAAAAAATTTAATTGATTCAAATAATCGGTTACTTGACTATTATCAAATAAATATTTACTTGAAACAAATAACTTCTGTATTTAAAACAAATACCATTTAATTGACTCAAATAATAATTATTTAATAAAAAAAAAAAAAAATATTTACATAATACGAATAAATATTTATTTGATACAAATAAATTTTTTTTCAGTATAATAATAATTATTATTTTTTGGTTTTAATAACAATAATAATGATAATAATAATAATAATAATAATAATAATTATTATTATTATTTTTATTATTATTATTATTATTATTATTATTATTATTGTTAATTATTATAATTATTAATAATAGTAATAATAATAATAATAATAATAATAATAATTATTATTATTATTATTATTATTTATTATTATTTCTGAATCTATTCAGAAATGAAATTACAAAATTAATTAATTTTAAATTGACTTAAATAATTTTTACATTAATAATTAAAATTTAAATTAAATTAAAATATTTGAAATAATTTAATACACCCAGAGAAATATTTTATTTGAATCAAATCAAATATATTTCAGTTAATAAATAAACGTCTATTTGTCTCAGAACCAACTTATGTATTTGGCGCGTAAATCAAAATTTTTTTTTGTCATAAATAAATTTTTTTTTTTTGGCTCAAATAAATTTTTTTATTCAAATGAAATAAAATTTATTTGCAATAAATAAATAAATAAAATTGTAGGTTTGGAAACAAATATATTATTTCTCTGAGTGTATAATATATAATAAATAATTAATATAATAAATAATTAGTAAAATAAATAATTAGTAAAAAAATAATTAGTAAAATAAATAATTAGTAAAAAAAATAATTAGTAAAATAAATAATTAGTAAAATAAATAAATAATTAATATAATAATAATAATGATTATTATTATAATTATTTTTATAAATAAAAAAAATTTTTAATTAACAAAAGAAAAAAAATGAAAAAATGTAAAAAAAAGAGGAAAAGAGAAAAAAAAAGGTGTTCTGATTTGAAATCGATTTTCGAATTTTTTGTGATTAAATCTGCAACGAAGCGAGATCGATGATCTTCTCTCGCACCCGTAACCCAATTTCGGCCAATGAGATTCAAGCACGCGTGTCTCGACAAAACGCGTGTGTATATACACAGAGGTATTATAAGGAAACACATTGGATCGTGCAGCGATTCTCGTTGCGAAATTGTTTACTTGCTGTGTGTACCGGCTATAACATTATATAGAATAGGTATCAAGGATAAAGGATTACGCGCGCGCGGTCCTCGATATATATATATATATATGTTAGGCTCAAAAGCCGAAAACGGCCAATGGCCGAAAAAAACAGCCAAACCTAGTTTTGGCAAACGCATTTTTGCCAATACTAGTTGTGGACGTTTCACAACGGCCATTGGACGTTTTAAATTGACAAAACCAGTTTTGGCAAACAGAAATTTGCCAAAACTAGTTTTGGAAAACGCATTTTTGCCAAAAGTGGGTAAGGCATTTTTAATTATGACAAAAATTTAAACAATAAATTTTCCACACAAATTTTTCTCTTTTAGCAATGTATTTTTACACAAAAATCAATTTCTGTACAAAAAATAAGAACCTAAATTGTGAATTCGAATTTTAAGAACAATTTTCTTCATTGAAAAGATAAGAAAGAAACTGTTTAAATTTTATCAGACAAGTTTTCAAAAATTGTTTATGCTTAAATTTATTTATTTTTACATGCAGTGCTGGAGTGACACTTCGAGTTGCATTTCACGTTATTTGATAGACACTTACATCGAATATGGGTGCAATGTCTTAAACAATTGCAGAAAATAAAACCTTGTTTTGATCCTGAATCAAGTGCCGAAGCTTTTCTCAACGATAATGTCGTTGATGGAACATCTTCGGCTCTGATGAAGTTGGAATCAGCAGTAGTGAATTCGTTTCGAACATAACGTCGTTCTAATGTACCACTTCTGGTACCTAAACGATGAAGGCCATCGGAAGTAACTTCTTCGACTACTGCTAGCACGCTGCGAGCTGCAACTCTTCCCCTATCCACATCAGGAACCTTCACGACGACATTTGATCCAACAGGAACAGGTGATAATTTTTCATTGGATAGTGCAAGCATTTTTTCGGCTTGTTTTTGCAGTCCTCTTGCTCTTCTGTCTCAATTGCAGAATAAACCTCTGCCAACAATGGAGAATCACTCAATCCAATTTTCTGCGGACAGCCAAACATTGCTTCATATGGGCTAGTTTTAATTCCCGAATGAAGAACGCGATTTTTTTTGCTCTGAATGAAGCGTAATCCTTCTGACCAATGATTATTGTTGTTGTCAGCCATCCACGATATAAGCATATCCCTTACATCTTGATTGCTCCTTTCTACGGATCCCTGACTTTGCGAGTGGCGAGGTTTCCCGTGAACCATTTTTAATCCGTTCCAAATTTCTGCGAGACTTTCAATTAATTGGTTCCGAAATTCGCGTCCATTGTCGGATTGGAGAATATATGGTGCACCAAATATACAAAATATATCAACTAAGTGATATGCAACTTCCTTAGCGGTTTTCGTTTTTAAAGCCTTCAGCATGGTGAATTTTGTCAAATGGTCCTGGTAGTTTAGTATGAAGCGAAATTCGCCATCCTTTTCACTCTGCATGTCTATCAGATCCACTTGACATCTGCTATTCATTTGGCTGGATAAAATAGGGCGAACAACCAATCCGCGTTTTTTAGTTTTTTTCTTCAGTTGACACTCTTCACATAATGACAAATAAATATCAATTATATGCCTCGAAATATTGACGTATTTTTTTTTCAACTCGGCTTCCATAACTAAAAATAATTATTATGCATAAGTTATTTTTATTGATATTTACATATCATTTTTATTATAATAATTAATAATTATAATTATAATTTATAATAAATATTATTATAGTAATTATTTTTTATTTTATTAATATTTTTTATTCATGTTTAATCAACAAAATGTTAATTCAACTCCTAAGTATAAAATGATAAATAACTAATTCGTTCAAAACAATACAAATGTATGTCAATAACAAGTGTCAAAATTAGTATTTAAAATCTATTTACCTCTCGTTCTTTTGTGCTGTGTATCTGCATGAGCCTTGTCCAAAACGTGAAAATATTCCTCGACTTTGCAAAAATAACGTATTTCGCGATTTCCGTCTTCCTGCAGTTTCGTATTTTCAATCAATTTCTCTGTAGCACCAATATTAATTATGTCAAAGCGCTTTAATCGACGATAATGCTTGGTCGTCATGGGTTTTTTATTCCTATGTAAATCTTTCGCTTCTCTCACTTCAGATAAAATGGAGTTATACTTTTCAGTGGTGAACACTTTGTCAGGATTTAAATTTTTTAAATGCTGTTGCACTTTTTCGTCGAATTTACAAACTTTTTCCATTTTAATTAATTGACAGATACAGAGACTATAACGTTTCAGCGAATACTAATTTACCTTGTTGACAATTTCTGATTTCATACACAAAGACATCAATACAGAGAGGATATGCTAATTCTAAACACATTTTCTTCATACAAAGGTCTTCGTCATGATTTAAAATAAAATTAATTTAAACGGTTTTTGTCTGATAAAATTTAAACAGTTTCTTTCTTATCTTTTCAATGGAGAAAATTGTTCTTAAATTTTGAATTCACAATTTAGGTTCTTATTTTTTGTACAGAAATTGATTTTTGTGTAAAAATACATTGCTAAAAGAGAAAAATTTGTGTGGAAAATTTATTGTTTAAATTTTTGTCATAATTAAAAATGCCTCACCCAGTTTTGGCAAAAATGCGTTTGCCAAAACTAGTTTTGGCAAATTTCTGTTTGCCAAAACTGGTTTTGTCAATTTAAAACGTCCAATGGCCGTTGTGAAACGTCCACAACTAGTATTGGCAAAAATGCGTTTGCCAAAACTAGGTTTGGCTGTTTTTTTCGGCCATTGGCCGTTTTCGGCTTTTGAGCCTAACATATACACGAGAGCTTCGCAATAATACATTTAACATACGTTTAATGGGCGCGCGCGTTTGCTTATATACTTGCTCAATAAGAAGTCTACGAAATTTCCATGCGAAGTAGAGAGAAAAAAAAAAAAAATCTCAGTCTCAATATATATTATAAAATTCACATCAATCACATTTTTTTTTTTCTAAACAATAAATTTGCAACTGAATTTGGAGATATAATATATAAAAAATTTCTATTAATGGAAATTTATAAAAATTTATTTTAATATTTAAATTAGATGGAAAAAAATTGTTTACCAGGAACAGGGAAATGTTTCACTATAGTAATAAAAGTTTTATTTGTTTCAGTTAAATCTTTTGCTATATTCTAGTGAAATCTTTCGTTGTTTTAGGTAAATTTTTTTTTTCCTTGTATAATTATAAATTTTCTTTAGAAAAATTTCAAAAAATAAAATTAAAGAGGAAAAATTTTAATTTAAAATTTACCTAAAACAGCAATAGATTACGCTTAGAATAGCGAAAGATTTAATTGGAACAAAGGTAAAACTTTTGCTAGTATAGTGAAACGTTTCGCTGCTCCAAGTATAAATCTTTTCTTTTCCGTGTAATAAAATTTAAAATAAATATGTAAAATTTATAAAATTCTAATTATTATTTTATTTAATAATTATATAAATAAACAAAATTTCAATACTCAGTTACTTGAATATATTATCAAATAAATATTTACTTGAACAAAATAATTTTTATTTGAATCAAGTAAACTTTATTTTTTAAACTAATTTCTGTATTTGAAACAAAAATTCCATTTAATTGATTCAAATAATAATTATGATTCAAATAATAATTATGATACAAATAAATATTTATTTGATAAGTAAATATTTATTTTATAAAAGTAGATATTTATTTGATATAAGTAAATATTTATTTGATACGAATATTTATTTGTTAATAGTAAAGTAACCGAATATTTGTATTAAATAATTTTTTTTTTTTTTGGTGTAAAATTTAGTAAATTTCAAGAGAATATTTAGCAATTTTTTTTTTGCAACGCCTTGTAATTTTACAAGTTTAGGAAAATTTCAAAAAATAAAATTATATCTATAAAAAGAGGAAATATTTTAAAAACAGATTTAGCAATTTTTTTTTTTTTTGCAACACCTTGAAATTTTACGACAAATTAAATTCACTCTGTGAATGAAGAAATTGAAAGAATAGAAATTGTATTGTTATATTGTAATAAAATAAAAACTTCCTTTTCCTTTTGCAGAGATGTTTGAAATAAAAATAAAAAAAAAAAAAAAAAAAAAAAAAAAGTGGCGAATTTCAAGAAAGGAAAATAGTTTTACCGTAGATAGCGAAACTAGGATAAGTGTCGAATACAATAACAGGAAACATTCTTTATCTTTTCATGAATTGCGCAAGAAGTACATATATATATATAAAAAGAAATAGTTTTCGTCATTGTTTCAAGTGGGGCGATCTTTTCTCATTTTAAAGTTTTCCTCTTTTTTTTCTCTATATCTTTTATATATATATATATATATATATATATATTATTACACTATATTCATTGCCTAGGTCAGTTTTGGCTAAACGCCGCAAATTCAATATAAATATAAACTCGTATTTATATACGCTTCGATATGTTTTGTACATATATATACATATAAAAAAAGCAAAAGACGAGTTATGACAGAGAAGATTGATTTTCCAGGGGTTGCTTTCAGTTTATTCAGCCACCCGCGATGACTCTCGCATATAGTCAAAGTGAGAGTCGCTCGAGAACTAACCAAAAGGGGAAAAAATCAAAGCAGAAGCACGTTCAAAAATATATGACACCCCTAATTCTCTCAACACTCGTCTGTATTTTATTTTCAAAGCGAGCACCAAAAAAAAAAAAAAAAAAAACAAAAACAAAATTTTAAATATTATGGGAAAGAATCGAAAACGAATTTCCCTGACTTGTCATTCATATTATTTTTTTCCTGCATTTTCAAATTTTTCATTTGTCCAGAAAAAAAATTTCTTTGCTTTAAAGAAACCAATTTCTTTGATTCAAATAATTTTTTTTTGGTTTAAAGAAACCAATTTCTTTGACTTAAAGAAACTAATTTCTTTGATTCAAATATATTTTCTTTAAATTAATGAAACCAATTTCTTTGATTCAAATATATTTTCTTTAGATTAATGAAACCAATTTCTTTGACTTAAAGAAACCAATTTCTTTGATTCGAATATATTTTCTTTAAATTAATGAAACCAATTTCTTTGGTTCAAATAAATTTTCTTTCGTTTAAAGAAACCAATTTCTTTAACTTAAAGAAACTAATTTCTTTGGTTCAAATAAATTTTCTTTCGTTTAAAGAAACCAATTTCTTTGACTTAAAGAAACTAATTTCTTTGATTCGAATATATTTTCTTTAAATTAATGAAACCAATTTCTTTGACTTAAAGAAACTAATTTCTTTGATTCGAATATATTTTCTTTAAATTAATGAAACCAATTTCTTTGATTCAAATATATTTTCTTTAAATTAATGAAACCAATTTCTTTGGTTCAAATAAATTTTCTTTCGTTTAAAGAAACCAATTTCTTTAACTTAAAGAAACTAATTTCTTTGGTTCAAATAATTTTTATTTCGTTTAAAGAAACCAATTTCTTTGACTTAAAGAAACTAATTTCTTTGATTCGAATATATTTTCTTTAAATTAATGAAACCAATTTCTTTGACTTAAAAAAACTAATTTCTTTGATTCGAATATATTTTCTTTAAATTAATGAAACCAATTTCTTTGATTCAAATATATTTTCTTTAAATTAATGAAACCAATTTCTTTGGTTCAAATAAATTTTCTTTCGTTTAAAGAAACCAATTTCTTTAACTTAAAGAAACTAATTTCTTTGGTTCAAATAATTTTTATTTCGTTTAAAGAAACCAATTTCTTTGACTTAAAGAAACTAATTTCTTTGATTCGAATATATTTTCTTTAAATTAATGAAACCAATTTCTTTGACTTAAAGAAACTAATTTCTTTGATTCGAATATATTTTCTTTAAATTAATGAAACCAATTTCTTTGACTTAAAAAAACTAATTTCTTTGATTCGAATATATTTTCTTTAAATTAATGAAACCAATTTCTTTGATTCAAATATATTTTCTTTAAATTAATGAAACCAATTTCTTTGGTTCAAATAAATTTTCTTTCGTTTAAAGAAACCAATTTCTTTAACTTAAAGAAACTAATTTCTTTGGTTCAAATAATTTTTATTTCGTTTAAAGAAACCAATTTCTTTGACTTAAAGAAACTAATTTCTTTGATTCGAATATATTTTCTTTAAATTAATGAAACCAATTTCTTTGACTTAAAGAAACTAATTTCTTTGATTCAAATATATTTTCTTTAAATTAATGAAACCAATATCTTTGACTTATAAAGAAACTAATTTCTTTGATTCGAATATATTTTCTTTAAATTAAAAAAAAACAATTTCTCTGATGACTTATAAAGAAACCAATTACTTTGACTTGTTTTCTTTCATTCAAAAATCTTTATATTTGGAACAGCTAATATGTTTCTCTAGAATAGCGAAAACTTTCCTTGTTTTAGTGAAAAATATCATTGTACCAGTGAAACTTATCGCTGTTCAAAATGAAGATTTTCTTTTTCGTGAATATAAAATTTTCTATGATACAAAAAAAAAGCTTTTTAGCTTCAAAGAAAATTTCTTTGATTCAAATAAATTTTCTTTGAATTAAAAAAATTTGTCCATTAAATCAAAGAATTTCTAACATAACATTGATATATAAGAATCAAAGAAATATTTATTTGAATTAAATAAAAAAATTTCTTTGAAACGAAGATAATTTTTTTTTTTTTTTAATCAAAGAGATAATATATTTGAAAAAAAATTTTCTTTGTATTAGAGAAAAAATTTGCACAAAAAAATTGATTTTTTTGAATCAAATAAATATTTTTTCTATATAGGAATAGCGAATACTTTCCCTGTTTTAGTGAAACCAATCGCTGTTTCAGTGAAACTTATCGTTGTTATACAAGTAAAGATTTTTTTCCGTGAAAAAAATTTTTTTTTTCTTGAAACAAAAAATGTTTCTTTAGCTTCAAAGAAAATTTTTTTTTTGATTCTAATAAATTTTCTTTGATTCAAATAAAATTCCTTTAATTGAGAAAAATTTTCTTTGATTTAAAGAAATTTGTGCAATTAAATCAAAAAAATAAAAATTCCAACATATAAGAATCAAAGAAACATTTATTTGCGAAATTAAATAAAAAAATTTCTTTGAAATGAAGGTTATTTTTTTTTTTGAATCAAAGAGATAATTTATTTGAAAAAAAAAAAATTTTTGTACCAAAAAAAAAAATTTGCATAAAGAAATTTATTTCCTTAAATGAAAGAAATTATGATTTCTGTGAATAAAAGAAATCTTCTCTTTTTTAGTGATTTAAAAAAATTATTTCATAAGATGAAAATGAAACTTCTAAAAACTGTTATTAAAAAAAAAAAAAAAGATTACAAAATACA